GAATGGTGTGTTGCAACAACTGATCATTCTCTCCTTTTATTAAACGTTTATAAGTAAATTACTCTTTCGTATAATTTTTTGTTATTGTATTTTTTTGTTATTGTATTTTTTTGTATAAAATTAAAATTAAAAAAAAAAAAAGAAGAATAAAAAAATTACTGAATAATCAAATGGATTTCAAAGATATTATTGGTCAATTAACAAATGAAAATATCTCTTTACATAACAAAATAGAAGTTATTCAAAAGAATAGTTTTGATGAAAGACTCGTATTACTTGAAGAAGAAATTAGAGCAAAAGATCTTAAAATCAAAAAATTATATGAAGATTTAATAAACAAACTTCAAGAATTAAAAAAAGTTACACAACAAAATAGTATTTTAAAAAAAGAAGAAGAATGTCAAATTGCTGATTTTACAGTTCGGATAAAAGAGAAAGAAAAAGAAATTGAATCATTAAAAAATTTTATACCACATGATGAAGAAATTATAATTTCAGAAAAAGAAATAATTAATTTAAAAAATACAATTAAACAATTAGAAATTAATTTAGAAGAACAAAAAAATATTCAAAAAAATAATATTCAAAATCTCCAAAAAGAAAGAGATGAAATAATTGAAAAGAATAAAAAAAGTATTGAAGATTTAGAAAGTAATATTAAAGGAAAAGAAAGTCAAGTCAATGAATTAATTTTAGAAAAAAATGATTTAAATAATAAAATTAAAGAGTTTAATGAAAAATTATTTAGTGAAGAAAATGAAAAAAAAGATATTGAATTAAAGAATAAACTGTTAATTGAAGAATTAAATACTTTAAAAAAAATTAATGAAGAAAAGACTATTCAATTAACTAATCAAATTAATGAACTGAAAAATAATATTGAAATTAAGAAAAAGAAATTGAAGAATTACAAAATGAAAATGAAACTAAAACTAAAGAAATTGGAGAAATAAATGAACAATTTACAAAAGAAATTGAAAAATTAAAAACTGAAAATGAACGAAAAGAAAAAGAATTAAACGAACAATTTACAAAAGAAATTGAAAAATTACAAAATGAAATAACAAAACAACAACAAGAAAGTCAAGAAAAAGAAAGATTAGACATGAAATTGAAAGAACAAGAAAAAATAATAAAAGAATTAGAAGAAAAAAATAAAAATAGTAATGAAACAAATTTATTAGAAAGAGAAACTTTACAAAATGAAATAAAAGTAAAAGATCAAATTATCATTTCATCAAAAGATGAAATTGAAAATCTAAAAAAAATATATCAAAATCAAATTCAAGAATTAGAAAATCAAATAAAAATATTGAAAGATAATAATGAAATGATTACTAATCAAAATAACGAGATTCAATATAAATTAAAAGTTGAGATAGAAATAAATCAAAAAGTTGAAAAAGAAAAAGTCGAATTACAAAATAATTATTTAAGTCAAATTGAAGAAATTAAAAATGAATTAACTGACAAAACTAATCAAATAAATTTACTTCAAAAAAATAATTTGGAAGAAAAAGAAAAATTCCAAAATGATTTACAAAAAGTTGAAGAAAAAATACAAATAGAAAGTGAAGAAAAAGAAAAAATAACAAAAGAAAGAGATGAATTACAAAAACGAATGAATGAACTTCAACAAAATAACTTAGAAGAAATTAATCAACAAAACGAAGAATTAAAAATAACAAATGATAAGTATCAAAACGAAAATGAAAAATTAAAAGAAGAAATAACAAAAATAAAAGAAGAAAAACAAAAACAAGAAATAAGTCTAAAAGAAAAAACAAAACAAATAGATGAAATAAAACAAGAAATTAATGAAATAAAAAAAGAAGAAGAAAAAACAAAACAAGAACTTGAAGAAAAAGAAAATATTATAAAACAAAAAGAAAAAGAAAGAGAAGAAATAAATAACAAAAATCAAGAATTAAAAGAAGAAAATGAAAAACTAAAAAAAGAAGAAGAAAATAAAAAAAAAGAAGAAGAAAAAAATGTTATTGAAATAACCAAATGGAAAAAGAAATATGAAGAACAATCATTAAGTAAGTCAGCAATAATGGAAGAATATGAAGAAAAAAGTCAAGAATTAGAACTTGAAAAAAATAATATTTTGAAAGAAAAAGAACGTCTTCAAATTCAAAATAATGAACAAAAAACTATTATTCAATATAAAGAAAATCAATATAATCAAATTCAATTGGATTTTGAACAAACTAAAAATCATTTAGAATCAAAAATAAAACAATTGGAAGATAGATTAAAAGATGTCTCTAATGCAAAAAAAGAAGACATAGATGAAAATGAAAAATATTTATTATTAAATGGAATTATTGTAA